TTAGTGAGTTCCACTTGAAGTATGTCCTTTTTAATGCTTTTTATCGTTAAAACTGTTTGGGTGGTCTATCTTAAATTGAGTTCTCCTACTGTTCAAAGAGAGATTCTTTTCTGATGTGTGTGTTCTGTTGTGTTTTCTCTTTTTTTCAAAGAGGAGGAATTTCTGCTTATATTTTCTGGGGAGTGCAATACACTGGAGTTTGCCGTTTTGACTGTATAGTACTGCCTGCATAGTGAGTGCTGCTGAAAGCTGAGACTCCCCACATAATCCTGTTTGGTGTTATGGTTTTTTTTCCAATCTATTAATAGAACAAAATACTAAAATACTTAAATACTCGTCATGAGTAACTGGGCTGCTTTTGAACTGAAAACAAAAGCTGCCTGCTGAGATGATTTTTGTTTTTCTGCAACGCTAGTCCCAGGTGTGTTACAGACTTCTTTCCTTTTTCTTTCATACTTCTAACCAGGACATACCCAGTGGGACCAATATCTCTTTTGCGGTCATTGCTGCAAACTATTCCGTGAGAAAATGCAGGTTATGCTGTGGAGCGATTCTCTCCTTTCTTAGAAATTATTACGACCCTGTAAGTTTTGTGTAAAGTGGGAGAGGTTGGGAAAGCCTACCCAGGCGGGTGCCTCCCAGCAGGTAGGAGAAGTTGACCCAAGTCAGCTCCGGCACGCTCAGCTCAGCAGTGGCTCTGGATCCCAGCAGCACAGCGAAGGCACTTCTGCGTTGATGCCTGTCTGCCAGAGCACCGCTTTATTTTTGTCCAGCGATTATCAGGAAGGCTGTCCAAGAGGAGCTGGGCATTATGGGACAAACAACACCAAGCCTTAGGAAAACAGGTTTTTTTGGTTGTGTTGTAGGCAGGTTGAGCTTGCTTGTGTAGCTGCCATCTATCTCTTCTGCAGGTTTTCTATAAGAATCCTTAAAGCTGCTCTTCTCAGTTTGAAATACAGTATTTTTGGACATTCTTAGTTTTGGGTGTTTCATGAGATGCTGGCTGCTGCCAGCGACTTTGCTTTGCTTTGGAAGTGCCTTCTAGACAGGGACTGAACATTGGAAGTTTGCTTATCTGAAATGCTGTTAATCTGTGAATAAACTGGAAACAGTTTAATTTGAAATGTTATTTGTAGGTCTCAGAATCTGAAAGCAAACCCAACAGTAGTAGATGTAAAAAAAGACTTCTCCTAGTCTCTAGGAGCCTCGTTATTAACAAGAATATTTCAGGTTTTTTGGGGTGACAAAAGATGAGACTCAATTTACGAGAAGAGAAAGCTGGTCCAGAGGAACCTTACAAACCCCCATGCAGATGGAGTTTTATTGTCATTGAAAACAAAAAGATCACAAATAAGAAACCCACTAAAAGACAAAGCAGCCCTCCCCCCAAGCAAAAATCCCCCAAAACATTGTCTGCAGTGTTGTGTAACAGAAGTGATAGTGTTATGCAAGGGGGGGGAAGAGTCGAAAAGTGAAAGGACTATAAACAAAAGCTGGAAAGGGAATGCCACCCTGCGTGCGGGCAGGTTTGTGCCTGGGTTTTCTGTTTATTGTAACAGGGTACATGAAGGCACTACCTTCAGGATTTAGACAAATTCTGTTGGAGTACATCTGGTAGAGAAGGGTATAACATGGAAATGTTGAGTAAGGACTAAGCAATAAGCAGAGGTAGCAGTGGGGAAAGGAGCAGGGGTCAGTGGGGAATTAAGGCCCCGCAGCTGTGGTGAGAGAAGGGAGCAGGATGTGTGTCTGGGGAGCATCGAAGCTGTGAGAAACTGCAATTCCCAGCTATATCCTCCTGAGCAATTAAGGCATTAGGGGAGGATAAGCATAGAGTCACTTTAAACATCAGTTGCTGTACTGTGTGTGTCTGGTACTTGTTTCTTTCCTTCCCTGGTACTTACTTTACGTCAGCTTTTCTTTTTACAGTATTTTTTAGCCTTTCAAGTAGGGTGCGTATTCAACTGATGAAAAACAAACTGTTTGCCAGTTTCGTAGCATTTCAGCTGTTCTAGTTTTGAAACCTCAATTAGTACACAATGGAAAAAATCCTTGAAATGGTTTACCTACGACAAAAAAGCTTTTCCCAGAATGAAAATATAGACTCTTCCTGAATACCATGTCTTCCCTCCCTCTGCCCTTTTGGTTTTTTTACCCCCAGAAGATAATAGTTTTGTCTCTGAAAACTCACTTCCAGTAAGGGTGGAGTGAAATTATTTTTGCTGCTTTCTGCCAAAGTGAAATCAAAATGAAAATGGTACAGTTCTCGTTGAGCCAAGTACTTGTACTGAAATTTGTTTTAAATTTTTTTACAGCTGATACATTGTTTTGCTTATATACCAATGACTTAGTGTGTTTGTGTGTGTAAGCTTGTTGGAGAAATGCCAAGGACTGGAGACTGGGACTGTGCCAGCTTTTATAAAGTCTGTTTGATGTCACTGAAATGAAAGGAACACACCTGAAGTGTCTCACATAGAATAACTGTCTTCAGGGCAGAAACATAGTGTGAAGTTTGCAGGTTGCTGGGTAAGGGGCTAATTGAGCAATTTCTCTCTTCCAAGGGATTTTATTTAATTTTTTTAGCTATGTTGTAATTTAAGTGTCTTCTCTCAGGAACTCCTGATTAGCGGTTTGTTGGTGCACTTCAGTTTAGTGTTTGTGGTTCAGTTTAAGGATACTTTCAGTTTCTTCTCCTCTTTTCCCAAAAAGATGGGAGAAAAAATTCCCTCAAACTCAAAAAAACCCCTTGAAATGATTTGCTAATGGTGTTCGCTGCAATTCAGATTTGAAACTATACCAGAAAGGTATGTAATATTTGAGGTGATTTGATCAAGTTAAAACACAGCACTCTGAAAATTTGATGCTGCATTGTTTTGGAGTAGTCTCCATCTTCATATAGGTATGAGATACACATCTAGTTTCTGGTCTGCTTGAGCAGCAGCTCTACTGTCTGTAGATGTGTCCCGGCTTTCTGGAGTAGTATCTATGACTGTTAAACCACTTGAGCTAAGGAAGGTAGATGGTGAAGTTGGAACATTTCAGCTCTTTGCTCAGTGTATGTTGGTACCAGGCCCACAGCTCTCTCTCCTGAGAGAGCTTCTTGGAGTTCCCAGGGGCAGAACCTGAGAACCCTGTCCGATCCTAAGAGTAGGTCTCTTGCTGCATCGCTGTCCACTGGGGAGGGCTTCGTGCTGAGTTCTCTGTAGGCTGGAGTTACTGGCTCATTGCTAAAGGTTAAAATCGTGGGGATTTTGATAGTATCGGTTAGGATTAGCTTTAGGCACCAGACCTGGTCCCTGTGATGCTGGGTAGGTGACATACAGAGACTAAAACCTCATTGTTGAAATATATGTGGAGCAGTGAAAGGTGGATAAAGCGCACAAAGAGTGTTAAGGCAGTATTGGAGCATGTGGCGCTTTATGTTTTTTTGTGTTTTGAGGGTTAAGGAGAAAGCATCCAGTCCGGTACTTCTCAGCTCCCTAGGGTTCCACATCTCCCTTTAATGTTTGCACCTTCAGCGTAAAACCTGTAGTTATTAACAAGCTAAGGCTTCAGACAGGGAGTTTGCTGTTCTTAAGATCCATATGTGGCAGTCTCAGAATTGTTGACCCCTTATGGGATCCGTGTGTTGAAAATTGCTGAGCTAGGCAGTTGCTGTGGAGATCAAAGAAACCGAAGACATTAAAAGGAGGGCAATGGAAATGCTGCTCAACTAGTACACCAGTTAAGCAGAGAATTTACTGTGAAATTAGTGTGCTACACTCGCTTTTCTTACTACTCTCTTCATTGTTTCTGGTTTTGTCTCTAGCTTCTTAGCAAAGAACTGACAGTAGCTTATCTTTTGGGCTTCTGCAGGGCACATTCAACTAAGTCTTTCACTGGGTTTATTTAACTGTCTCCTAAACAAAGCTGAAAGTGTGAAGCAGTGATTCATACTCTCTAGGCTGTGGAACAGATACAGTATAACATAACAGCATAGCTGCTGGTAAGAAGTGGTAAAGGTTGACACCCGTCTTTTGGTCCCAAAGTTTGGGAAACCTTCATTTCAGCTTTGGCAAGCCACAGGCAAAAGGGTTTGTAAAGGACAATTGTTAGTCTTTACTCAGATTGTTATCGACGATTATTGTGCAGGCAGTGTCTGGTGAACAGAGAACTGAATACAAAGGCACAGGAGAGATTTTCTTTAGGAAACATTTAGAACTTCTAGTTCTCTATTTTAAAGCATTAGCTTTGATCATCTTTTAAAGTGTATTTGTGAGAATGTATGATAAATTAATTAATGAAATGCTTGTTTTACATAGATTTACATGAAAAATATTTCTCCCAGTAGTTCCTCTGAGTTTATTTCCGAGTTTTTCATCATGTGGTAGGTGTTCTGCTTTGCTGAACTTGTAATAATAGGTAACTGCAATAGCTCCCATTTCTGATAGTGTTGATGTTGACTCATTTAAGTAAAAGAAAAAACACTTGAGCAAAACCAAAATGGAACTCAAAAAGTAACTTCTCTTCAGATTAAAATAAAATTCAGCTAGAGTTCCGGGATGGAAATGTGTAGGTGTGTGTTTCTCTGTGTGTGCATATACATGTGCATATACTTGCACACATAATTTAAAATGCGTCCTTCTTGTCGCATGGCTTATGGTCATGTTTTCCAGTTTGGGCAAGGTTAGATGACAGTCTTGAACTTTGTGAATCTTATTTCTTAGACTGATAGGATCAGAAATGCAATGAAGTATGAACACATACTCCCCGTGAGAGGTAAAGGCTTTCATTGCACATGGAACAGCCTCTGAATGAAATAAAGAAAAAGCAGAACAAGTGTTCTTGTTTGACTTGGGAGGGAGTGTAGTCTATCCATGCGTTTTAGATAATGTCCTTTTTTATGGAATCTTTGAGTAAAGTTGAAATGTTGAAAGAATGAAGTATCTGTCAGAGTCGTTGTATGTGTATTGTGTCATAAAAATAAGAAAATTTACATGGCCCATGTTATTTTCAGGTTTGCTGTAAACTACCTACCATAGCTATAATGACACCAGCCCTCAGAGAGGCAGCAACAAAAGGTCATGGTATCCACTTGTCACCTTCTTTGTCCTCTAGAGCTATGGAGTCTGATACAGCTTTGTGCATGGAAAATTCCAGAGCAGTGGAAGAGAAGATAAAAGAGGACTCCATCTCACAGATTACTTGCTCAGTCCTGGGGTTCCCCACTGTTGAGCCCAACCTCAGGAATGATATCTTCAGTGTGCAGCGATTTGGTTCTCCACCGTCCTCCAAGCGCTATCAGTCTGTCTTGTTAATGAGTACAAATTCTGCGTTCAGCAACAAAACCGGTAAGCAAACAAAAGCGGGAGAACCCGACCTCTCAAAGATGAGAAATTCGTTACATAATGGTGCTGACACATCCTTTGGTCGGATTAGTCACTCAGAACCTGAGGGACAGGTCAAAGGGCAAATGTTTTCAGAGACCACATCTCCAGATTTGGCAGAAATGCAGAGACTTTTGGATTCTAATCTAACTGAATCCAGTAATGCAGAGGAAATGCAGCTTTTAAATGGCAAATGGTACAAGAAGAATGGCTTTTTGGGTAGGGCTTTGGAAGTCTGCACTGAAACGATAAAAGGGGATTTATTACACCAAATTCTTCACGGGCCTTCAGAAGGGATTTTGAGCTGCACCCCGGAGGAGGTGTACACTCGCTTACTCCAGTGTGTCACTAAGCAACAAATGGAAATTAGTCGTGCCAAAAGAACTCAGAGACGTTTACAAATGCTCCTGGCAAAGCATGTTATCAAACACTGTGATCAGCAGCTGAAATGCTTTGTGAAACATCAGCTACAAAGAATGAAGGTTTTCCATGAGCCAACCAGATTTTTGAGCAGTAGCTCCGTCAGGTGCACTGAAGGTTGGCCAGAGAACAACACAACTGTTTTGGAGAGTAGTTCGAGTACGGATGTACAGAATGGAGTTAGCGTTGCACCAGGTGAAATCCGGGGGTTTGCACTTTCTACTGGAGGGCTGCTGTCTCGCGTGGAGAAGGATCTGGACTCTGATGCGACATGTAGCAGCTCAGATGAAGATGGTGAGGAACAGACTGTAAGAACAACTGTGGAAGCGTAAGTGTTAAATTCCTGCTAGACTCTGTGCTTCATGCTTATAAATCAAGATGGGAAGGGTCTAGACCTGCAGATTCCTTCTTGTGTGAGTAACCTCACTCGATAGATAGTCCTACTGAAATCAGCAGGACTGCCTGTGGGAACTAGGTTTATCAGGGGCTGGACAGAAAGTCAGAACTTCTCATTACAGAATTTAACGAACAATTAGTGTACTAGACTGTGGAGAGCTGGGTTTTGTACTGCACTCTATCAGTTTGCATTACGTCAGTACTTCTAATTATTCAGTATGTGGATGGTCCTGTAAATCAAATAGTGATAGCAGTGCTGTAAATGATGTATTTGACTCCTGTGAAAATATGTTTGATTTCCTTCTGGAGCTAGTCAGTGATAAGGTCTTGAAATCCACTATCATATGACAAAGAGTAAAAATGACCATCTGATGCAGGTATCAGTCCATCCAGTATTTGAGGGCTGTATATTGAAAAAGTTTGGTGTTTTGAATTATAATTTTAAAAATGGTAATTTACTTACTGAAGTTACTCTACTACTGTGAATGAAGCTAGCGGTGGTGGTTTTGTTGTTGCTGTTGTCTTTTTGAAAAAGCAGAGGGAAATTAATGTCATTAACTAATACTGTCTTGAATTGACAGGGATCCTGTAGTACAAATTAATTTTGAAAATCAGTAGTAGGTAGGAGAAGTAGATGGTAAAATTCATGAGAGATACATTTCTAGCACTTGAGGTCAGGACTGGTAGCGTGTTTCCTGATGTCTTACACTCTCTGCTGTTAGGGAAGGAGTGCATAGAAAGCATTGAGTGAACTGGTGTTGGAGGAAAAATAAATATTTTAAAATATATTTTTCTTGGCCTGCTTCTTGAAAAGCATATTGTTCAGAAGAAATTAAGCAAGCTTAGTTGTAAAGTGGAAAAGGGCTGTTCTATGTTACATGTTTGTAGTTTCAGTTAGGGAAGCTTCGGTATGGCATGGCTGTATCAAATCATTGCTGCCTTTTGTTAAGCTCTGTAGGCCTGGGAATCAGAGAGGAGAAAAAGTGCAAAGTAAAAACTATTTTCCATTTTCTTTTACATATTGTCAGAGTGGTAAATACTCAGTCTAACTAAAGCATAGTGACCTGCCAACTAAGTTAGGGTCACCTTAAACATTCGAGTTTTCGAAAGAATTATGCCACTTCTGAAATATTTTAATGAAAAAACAGCATTTTTGACTTCCCAGCGTAGGAGAATCTGCATTCTTCTCTTAGCTAATGTGTTTGAACATCTGAGTAATAGCTATGCCTTTAGGATTCTTATCTTGTGATTGCATGAACTCAAAAAGAAAAACCCATGAGAAATTCTGGATTCTTGAAGAGTAGCAGATAATGTAAAACTTGGACCAAAGTTCTGTGCAAGGGTTTTCTCTTTTCTTCTTGCCAGGGACACTCAAGTTTCTAACTCTGCCTGCCAGTCTTTTACCTTTATTTCTTTTTGTGGCTTTTGAATTAATTAAGTTATCTTTCCACTTAAGGCTTAGTCAATTTGTTTTGTTGCACCGAGGAAAAAAAATCCACAGAGGATTACTACTTACAAAGACACTACTTTTGGCTGAGGAAATCCCCAAGCTGCTGTTGCTGGCAGCTGAGGGAGCATTCTGAAGAAGCCCTGCTCCCTCCACGCCTGCCCTGTTGTAAGGCTGTTATCTTGGCCAGTGCTAAGAGGCGGGAGGCTGGGTAGATCATCTGCAGCCTGCCTCAGTGCAACCCTTTATTTGTGGGGTAGTTTTCTTCCCTCCCCTTTTTCTGTGCTTACTGCTGAACAGCTGTCAAGCAGCGCGGTGATGAAGTTAGCGATGTGCACTAGCTAAGGCCTTGCTGCATTGCCAGTGCCAGAATCACAGGTGTTTGAGCCGTGCTGCAGGGCTGGCAAGCTCAGAGTTAAAGTACTGCCTCACTGAAGCAGAAGACTCTTTTCTGTGTGCACAGGCTGAGGCAATGCTTGAATTAACATTGCACTGAGGACAGCCTGTCTCTTATTTGAATTTATCGTTATCTTCAGCTTGGAGTGGGTTTTTTTTTTCATCTCTCCCGCTTTCCTAAGATTCATCTTTCTGGCTAAAAGACTGTACTTTTTCTTCTAGGTGACGAAGGTAAATCAGTTATTTACCAGTGCAGTTGCTGAGATTGCTGTTTCCTGAGCTTTACCACTTTAAGGCTTCTTAAACTGCCGGGATAAAAGAAGTAAACAAAGTTAACATCTGGGGGGGGGGGGCGTGGCTAAATGGATTTATATTCTTTGAAATGCTTTTCTCTCCTAGGAAATTGACTCAGTGCTTTCCAGAAATAATGTGATCATGTATGTGAGAGAATACTCATTTCCTCACCTGTGACTTATTTTTCATAGTGAAGATTTTTACTGACCTAAAAAGACTCTTCCTCTGTGATAATTTTCGCAATACCTGTGTTCTGACTGTACATGAATGAGAAAAAATGTTTTGTTTTTGCCTGTATCAGTCTACCAATTGCATTTAACTTGAGGGTGTAATGATGCTGATGGCTGGCCATTGTCATGACTGCAGTGCTTTTTATACTTCCTTTTTTTTGAGGGGGGGAGGGAGAGATGTCAATCCAATGTGCAAGGGGGGAGGCACCTGCAGTTATCTTGTTTACCTGAGAACAGTCTGTTTCCCATCTGAAGGGAGAAGCTGATTCCGGCTCCAATTCTTCACTGTAGGATAAAACCTGGAGATATTTTTAGCATTTTGAACCTGTTCATTTTCATTAACCTGAAAAGAGTTTTGCCCAGTGAGTGCTGACATAAGCTCTCCTGAGCTGTATCTCACTGCTTTGTCTCTTAAGTAAGATTGTCTTTATCCATCTATTTCAATACCTTTGTTGTTTAGTGGCAAGTAGCTGCTATAAGATATTTAGACCGTTGTTCATCCCTTGTGCATTACGTAGATGCCGTCCTCAAGACAAGAAAGATCCTTGGTCTGCTGGTGAAGGCAGTTCTAGTTGACAATTCATAGTACTTACTATATTTCTCTACTTCCTAGAGTAATTGGAAAGCCTCATCCCATTTCAAGGGCTTAATCAAAGCACTTTTGGTCTGTTGAGTATTTGCTAAAAAGAAGAATGAAAAAACAGTTGGCTCTTTCCAGGAATTTTGTCATTTTGCTGCTGCTGTCAGGTCATGAGTGTCTTTAACCTGTGGGTGTTCATGGAAGGTTTCTTAGGCAAAGCACTAAATTTCCATCAGCAATTTGTAGTGTGTTCTAGTACCATTCCAGCCTTTGGATGCAGGAAATTCCTGGGACACTACACAGGCTATATGGTAGTACTGCTCTCTGGTTCCTCAAAATCAGATGCTAGGTGCTGTTTGCTAGCTCTCTCTGGGGTTAGCAACCAGAGTGGACAGAGGGCCCGAGGAGGGCATTGCAAAGCTTGGCCGTAAGTAATTCCTTCAGGAATTCATGACTAACATCAGTGATTTGAAACGCAATATAAATAACATTTGTGCAGCTGAGTTTACTTGGAACTTGTTGATCTTCTTTGTGCTTCATGAAGATGGAAGATTATCTGTAGAAACTGTCACAGATTTTGAACAAGGTGAACTGGGGGAGGTTTTTCAACAACACAGCTCTGCTTTGAGAGCTACATGTCATATCCTTCCAGGCCAGCTCCACATCCTTATTCATGTATTTTGTGTGTGCTCCTGATGTGATTAGGAGCTCTGGTTCTTTACAATGTACCACAAAGAAGTCGGAAGCTGAGGTGGTTATTTGGAAAAGCGTTAAAAGTTGCAGGGTACGGAGTTTTTCTTCTACATGTGCTATGTGTATCATCTCCCAGAAACAAAAGATGCATCACTGGGATTCTTTGAAGGAACAGCTGCTCACTGCATCAAATAGTAATGCATGTACCTAATTGATTTGAGAGAAAAGCTGCTTACGATAGATTTTTCAGCAAAAATAAGTAGCTCTGTCTGCTCGTGAAAAGTCTATGCCCTGTTTCCGGAGTCCTCCTCCTCCTCCTGAGTAGAGTCTTTTTGCATCATTTGGTGGGATTTTTTCTTTCTGAAACTTTCATGCTTTTCCTCTGTTTTTTGAAAGACATGTTTTACTAATTATCCTCCAGCAACCTCAAGCCTGACGAAGAAGCACTGTTATATTTTTCCATGCCCACAGGGTTTATTGTGCCTGGAAACTTATAATGAATGTGCAGAGATGATAAATCCCTTTCTTTTTTTTTTTCTTTTTTTTTCTTTTTTTCCTTAGATTTCTACTTGGAAAGAAAGAAGATGGGAAATCTGCTTTTAGTACAAATACTTCATGGGGAGGCGAGCAGTAAGGTGGAGAGAATACAGGAAGGGAAGAAAATATTATGACTAATATCTCTAGATCTAATCTGTTTATTCTAGATTATTTTCCATTTTTCCTAGCATTTTTTCTCATGGCTAATTGAGCAACATCAGTGCATTTCTGCCTGCCTTTCTATAGAAGGCATTGCTTAAGGGCTGGGGTTTATTGTGTGTCTTTGAGCCATGTTATGAGGGGAAGCTGTTTGGTTTTGCAAGGTCAGGTCCTAATTTTCCACTCTGAGCTGTAATTTTGCTTTATACCTGGTATGCGAACTGAATGCTGGTTTTAGGAAGGGGAGGAAGAGAGTTTGCCAGGACTAAACACAGCTCTCCATTTTTCTTAAGAGCAAAACCCCAACTGTTTCCAGGTTTTTAAGACTTTTTGGGTTTACAAGTCTGGGAAGTGTATTATTTGCATAGGAGATTAATGTGAGGGCTTTTGAATAAGTATAAATTCATAGCTGTTAATAATATGCTGATTTCAAAATGTTTTATGCATTGCTTTTTCATGAATTCCATTCTCTCAGTTCTTGGCTCCTGTCACTACAATGTGGGAGGAGAATTGTTACCGGGGAATGAAAGAAAAGTTAGCTTTATATTACCTTCTGTTTTCACTCTAGGGATAGACATATTGTTTCAGAATATATT